TCAGCGGTTTAGCGCCACCTTTGACCCAGGACGTGATCCTGGAGTCCCACGTCGGGCTCCCTGCGTGGAGCCCGCTTCTCCCCCTGCCTGTGTCTCTGCCTTCCTCTGTCTCTCATGAATAAATAAAGAAAATCTTTAAAAAAATACACACACACACACACACACACACACACACAAAGCACCACAGCCAGCACGGAGTAAAGGCCCAAGATGGCAGCAAGTGTGCAATTACTTGGACCTTGTGGATTCCCCGGCTCTGTGTCCTAAGCACTGGATTCTGTGTCCCCAGTGAAACGACACACCTCTGTGTGCACCAGAGGCCCCCTCCTTACAGCCCCAAGGCTCCCACTGTGCTCCCCAGTCTACCCAGCTCCACGTCCAACCAGGTGCCAGGTCCCCCAACCTGCCCTGCAGCACCCGAGAAAGTGACGGTCACCCAGCCCCAGCCCACACCCTGGGCCCCTTCCCCAGGCTACCAGCCTAATTTCTTCCCTATCCCTCCATCCCCCCGCCTACGCACTCCTGAGTGGCTGCCCAAGGCCGCTGGAGGCGCCCTGCCCAGAAGTCTTCCACGGCTCTTCCTTCCACAGAGGAGCAACCACTTTCGGGTGTCCTGTGCCAAGCTTCGCTTCCCCGGCACCTTCCAGAGACGTCATGCCGTCATGCCAAGCTCCTTCTGGCCCTTGGAGCGCTCAGGACCTGCCCCTCCCTGCTTGCTGGCCTCTGCCCCTCCCCACCCTCCCCCTACCAGGCGTGGGCTCAGCAGCTGCTTCCAGTCCCCAAGCCTGGGAGCCTGCCGCAGCACCAGCCGCCCCGGAAGGCTCCTCCCCACCTCCAACTCCATCCCAGGGGCCTATTCCCAAGGGTCTTGGCCGACGGCTCCTCTACAGCAGCACCCAGGCTTTACCTCGGCGGTTTTGTTCTCCACGTGCATGTAGCACCTTCCCGCGGTTTCTGAAGTTTATGCAGTACTGTGTACGTGTGCGTGCCTGTCTCAACCAGAATGTCAGCTCCCGGAGAGCACGGCCCGGGGACTCTGGTTCCGTTTCTCTCCAGGGCCTACACCGACAGCAAGTGCTCGGCGAAGCCTGGCTGAATGAGTGGACCATGTGGGTGCTTTCCGTAGATGACCTTCCGGTCACAGGACCCTGCAGGGTGGGCCCAACTTCCCCAGTCACCTGCTGAGAGTGGATGGCGCAGAGCCAGGCCTGGCACCAAGGCCAGACTGCCTCCTCCTGTCACCTGGGCCCCACAGGGCCATCCCCCAGCCACGTGCCCTGAGGGAACAGCTAACTCAGCTCCACTGAGCCCTTCCCCCTAGAAAACATGTCTCCTCCCCACCTCCACATACAGGGACACCCTCCGCCCTCCAGCCAGACTGCGTGCTGGGGAGGGGGAGCTGGCAGGAGGCCGTGCACCCAGCCTCTCTCCCTCTGTGGTCACAGAGGAAGGCCCGGAGCCCCCGTGACCTGGAGGCCCCAGCACTGAGACACGGCGGCTCCAAGGGGCCTCTGGACGGCACATTCTGCCCTCGGCCCCATCCTGCTCCCACACACAGACGCACGCGGTAAAAATGAACGCCTCCAAGTGTCATTTTCTTGGGCTTCAAAGCAGCAGCCTTTTGCACGAGTAAATATTGAGTCAATGCTAAGAGCAGAATGAGCTGTTAAGTTCTATTTGCTACTTTCATCCCCAGGCTCATAACAGAGCACAAGCTAAACAAAGAAACACAGCTCTCCGCCGACGAGATGACATTCAGCAGGTACAATCATTTCTGTGGGCACTTCTCACATCAGTGATTTGCTTCTCCAACATTGGCAAATATTTGCCACTTATGTCTTTTATGTAATGTGGAAGATAATATATTCCACTGTCTTCCAAGGCTATCTTAAATGCCTTATAAAAACAGGCAATTTACTGGCTGTGTTTTCTCCTGCCACTAAATACAAATCCAGTAATTGTTTAAGTTTGAAAGCTTTTTGGTGTGAGACTTGATACTTAAACAGAATGCAGAAGACAGAAAACACTCATAATGCTACCAACCCAACAAAAGAATCTTATTTTTACGTATTAACCTTCCCTCCTGCCGGCACACAGCCTCTTTCCCATGAGTCCTGAAAGCTCTGTTGTGCGAAGGACTGGAATTGCCACAAGTTATCCCCCTGACGAAGCCCACGAAGAGACCAATGGGGGCTCAGCTCCTGACCCGGAACTGCAATTCCTATCGGTGTATCCTGTCTTCGTCAAGTACCTCCCTGCCCCCTACCGTCAGAAACCACTTAACTCAGCCAAGAGGATCTGTGCAAACCGCTCTGACTGGCGGTGACCACATGGTTACCACGTGCAGCAGGGCTCTGAACATCCAGGTAAAGGGTAAGGAGCCCAACACAGGTGAAGAAGGTAGACAACTAGCACTGCTGAGTGTTTACCGTGTGCTGGGCATGGTCCTAAGCGATCTACACGCAACCCTCCCTGGGTCTGCACACTGCGTGCAGCTAGCGCCGCTGGGTGGGCGAACGAGGGCCCCAGGAGCACTACCAGGCTTGCTTCCGTCTCGGGGCTGAGAGCACTGAACCCACACTCCTGGCCAGCAATCGTCCTCAGAACCTCCGCCCTCCCTGCACCCTGGGACCTGCCTCAGGGGTACAGGTGTTTTGGTCAGCCGGAAAGGCAAGTGGCCACGGAACGTGCTCAAACCCCCAACTAGATTCCACGATTCCATGCCCGACCCACCCGACTTCCCAGTGTCATGGGTGAGACTTCCACCCACCAAGTTCGCAAGCTCCTCCTCTCCCTGACGCACATTTCAGGATGCTCGATGACCACCACTAGTCACCAACACAGGCACAGGGTGGGGATCACTGGTCTGAAAGACAGTTCCCAAGCCTGTCGTAATGACAGGAAGCTGGGAATAAGCTAAGTGCCCATCAGGAGGGGCAGTAAATGAGTCCTGGGCACCACAGAGCGGTGCGCTACATGGCATGTACAGGCCAGGTGGTTCCCTAGAGCTATCCCGGGAAATACGCTGTGAAACTTAAAGTGGGGGGCATGGGGCGCCTGGGTGGCTCAGAGGGTTAAGTCTGCCTTTGACTGAGGTCATGGTCTCAGGGTCCTGGGATCGAGCCCCACGTGGGGCTCCCTGCTCAGCGGGGAGGCTGCTTCTTCCTCTGTCTGCCTCTCCCCCTGCTTGTGCACTCATGCTCTCTCTGTCTCTCTCTCTCTCTGTCTCTCGCTCGTTCTCTCTCAAATAAGTAAAATCTTTAAAAATAAATAAATAAAATAAAGAGGGGGGCAGAGCAGCATTACCGTGTGTGGAGAAAGAAAGCAAGTATATAAACGTGCAGACTCCAAAGCGTCTCTCCCCAAGCGACTTCTGAATTGCCACAGGAAGAGAGGCCCCTCCCAGGGCAGGAACTGACGGGCATCGTGTTCACCAGTCACTGGAGCGGACTCTTCAACAGTAAGACGAACCAGCCCTGTGGGCTCCTGCCACGGGGACGTCCCTGCCACGACGACGGGCCCAAATCTCATCAGGAGGAACACGAGACAACCCGCGCGGAGGGGCGAGGGGCGTCGCAGAAGAGCTGGCCTGCCCGGAGATACCGTGCACGCCGGGACCCCCTCCAGGCTGACCGGGAGGACCCACCGGGAAAAGCACCCAGCGGACATTCCTGGGACGACTGGCACAGCGTGAGTGTGGGCGACCTCGCAAGGAGGAGCAAGGAGCACCGCATCACTGTGAAATGTCCTGACCGTTGACAATCCTGGGACCACGCGGACCAAGCGTCTCACTCTCAGGAGCCCGGGGACACATTCTCTCCATGGACTCACACGGTTCAGGGATACATGCACATGCTCAAGCACAATGAAAACGGGGCAAAGTGCAAACAAATGGTGAATAGAGGAGTCACTTCTGTTCTTGCAGCTTTTTTGTAAACTTGAAATTACATCAAATAGAAAGTTTAAAACGTCTTGTGCATCAACTGTCTGTGGAATAAGACGCCCAGCACCACGAAAGGAGGGCAAGCAGGGTTGGGGGAAGGAGTGCCACATCTTTACGGCACATCCTCCGGTGCCCAGTGACTGTGTTACATGGCAGGAGCACAACAGGGAAACGTAAAGGAAGAAACCTGGGGGAAGGACCCCTTCGCACCAGAGGGAGCAGCACCCAGGCGCCAGGCCCACCCCTCAGCTTCTGCAGGCTCCGCCTCCCCGGCGGCTGGGCACCCCATCTGCGGGCCTCATGCGCCACCTGCTGGCCGAGTGGGGCACTGCCCACCAGCCACACCAGCCCTCAGGCTACCCAGGCACAGGCCCCTCGAGGAGTGAGCTCAGGACCACGCCACATCCCACGTTCAGGAGAGCTCCCGCATCCAGCAAGGTGCCCGAGGCAGAGCGGCGCTCCACAGAGAGGAGACGTGTAGAGGCAAGAATGACGAAGCGAGCGGAACTCCAGCAGGTGGACCTGAAAGCAGGCACACGCCTCAGAGCCTGGTTGCAGCGCGGCCGCATGGCTATTGTGACCCCCAAGAAGCAGAGTGGTGGCTGGATCGTCTCCTGCTGGCCTGCCCACCCAAGCCCCGCCCTGGCTCCCCGGGGTGCTCACGGCCTGTCACGTGCTACACCGACAGCTACACCGACACTAAGCCCCCAAAGGAAGGTGAAGTCAGCAGCGATCAGGACACCAGTCACCAGCTCTGTCCCCCCAGAACACTCTGAAGAGTAGGCATGGCTGCCTGGCTGGCCCTGCAGCTCTGAGAAGCCAAAGGAGTTCAATGGGGGCGTTAAGGAATAAAGAACAGAAAAATGCCAGATCAACTGCTTTGGAAGCCCATTACCAAAACACTCTAGAGTAACCTTCGAGGACAAACAACTCCCGTCTTCGTGACTTCCTGGCACAACACAGACCACCCTCCAACAAAGTAAACCACACATGGGAGCCTGGGCACGAAGCACCAAGAGGACAAGGCACACGTGCCCTCCCCCAGCGGGGGACTCACCGAGGTCTGTGTGGGGGCCGGCAAGAAGCTGCTTGAACTTGTCAAGCCGAGAGGCCTCTCTTTCACTTAACGCTGAGCTGCTGAGGGCACTGGGGTCAGACGTCCCACCCAGTGCGACAGTCACCGAGTGTGGGAGAGACTGGGACCGCTGCAGGGGGACAGTGTCGCTGGCGCTTTCTGCGGAGAGAGAGAGCACACGGTGAGGATGGCTTCCTGGACCCCCCCAACCATGTTCCCAGTTGGAAGGCTCCCACCTGCCCTCTGTGAATGCCACCGTGTCACAGTTGTCCCTTCTTCCACCACTGGGCAGTGCAGACCCGGGCTACTCAGCATGGAGTGAGATCAGTGAGCGCTCATGAAGCCACTGGCTTCCCGGTACAGAATTATACCCGAGGAAAGTAGGTAGGGGCCCACGCAGAAGCAGGATGACACACAGAAAACCCAAGACCATCTCAGGGTGCACCAAGAGTCAGGGTGCCCCCAAAGCAGACCCAGGTGACACGATCCCAGGGTCTGTTGATGTAGAGCTGGGATGAGCGTGCCTGCAGGCATCACCTGGGCCTGAGCATAGAAGGAAGCCACCGAGGCACACAGGCACACGTGCCCAGAGGCACTGAGGACTCTTTGCAGCCCTCAGATCTCCCCAGGCCCCAGGAAGGAGGCAGGGCAGGGGCCATCACCAAGACAAAGCACAGGAAGCTAGAGGCCACTGCAAGCTGGGGGGGAGGGGGAGGCATCGGGCTGCAGGCACATCTACCCCCAACCCAGGGTGCCACCCACCACCGCGCCTGACGGCCCACCGACCCTGCACCCTGCGACAGGGACACACAGTGCCAAGGGGACACAGTGCACTAAATCCAGCAACCCGAGACAGGGAAGAGCCATAGGAGAGAGCCCGAGGCTCAACAGGTCACTCAGAAGGAGCTGCCAGGACCAACCACATCTTCCAAAACTGGAATGTATTTTTTTTTAACATTTTATTTATTCATGAGAGACACAGAGAAGGAGGCAGAGACACAGACAGAGAGAGAAGCAGGCTCAATGCAGGGAGCCCGACGTGGGACTCAATCCCAGGATTCAGGATCACGCACTGGGCCGAAGGCAGGCGCTCAACCGCTGAGCCACCTGGACATCCCCCAAAACTGGAATTTAAACCGGTGGAGAGGGGCAGCCCCAGTGGCGCAGTGGTTTGGCGCCGCCTGCAGCCCAGGGCGTGATCCTGGAGACCCTGGATGGAGTCCCACGTTGGGCTCTCTGCATGGAGACTGCTTGTCCCTCTGCCTGTGTATCTGCCTCTCTCTCTGTGTGTGTCTCTATGAATAAATAACATCTTTAAAAATAAAAAAAATAAAAATAATTTAAAAAAACCAGTGGAGAAAATAAATTCCAGGAAAGGGGACAAGAAACAAACAGTGTGAAGCAAACATGTGGGCTCCTGGCCACCACCTCCAGACTCCCACCAGCTCCCTCCTGCTGGCAGAGCAGACTCGTGAGCCTGAAAACAGAGGGGAAAGGCTTCACGCAGAAACCCTTGGGCCACGGAGAAGCAAGACGGGCCATGGAGAAGCAAGACGGCCCACGGCCTCCGGGCAGAGTCTGGCCCAGTTAAGCTTCCAGAAACGCCTGCAGAAGTGGGCGTGGAGGAGAGAGCTCCTGCAAGCCCTCCTCAGGGCTGACCCCTCCCTGCAGACCTCCCCATGTGCCTGCCTCGGGGAGCCCAGGGTGGCGGTGCTCAGACCCCCCTCCCCGCCCTCGGGATCTCCTACTCCACCGAGTCGTGATTCTCTAGGAAAGACGAGTCGTGATTCTCTAGGAAAGACGATCGGCCGGAGGGACAGTTCCACGTTCTCCCGCAGGACTAAACGTGCTGGGTTTACTCATCTACCATCTTAGAGAGACCCGTGTCATTTATGCAGACAGATAAGGACCACTTCCTCCTGGGCAGAACACAGTGATGCCCCCACCTGCCCCCTGAGGAAGCAGGAAGATCGACAGCCAGCAACCCCTCCGGGGCCCCTGGAGTGGGTCTCACGTGCACCGTCAGTGTCCAGCTCGGTCACAGTCAGCCAAGGAGACGGTCCTCCCCCGGCCATGTCCACTGAGCCCTCCACGGCCGAAGGCGGGCTTTGCCCTTCGGCCAGGGGCACCCTGAGTCAAGCAAAGGACATCTGACTTCAGGTACAAAGGCACAGGCTTCTCAGACTTGATGAAGAAAATCAGACGATCAAAAGTAAAGAAGCAGCATGGGGAAGGCCAGCCTGGGCCCCCCTGCTGCGCCGTCCCTGAACTTTCAACCGCCATCAATCCAGCACTGAAGGCCACAGCTGAGGGCAGCCAACAGGCCCTGTGGACTCTGCGTGGGGTGACGTGGGCTCCCCACAGAGCCGCACTGTAAAAGGACAGGCATCCGACATAAACGCTGGCAGTGGCAAGGGCAAGCAGCGTGCCAACCAGACCATAAAACATAGTGTCCAGGATTTTCCAAATGACACAACGCTGCTCCTTCAAGCAATCACGGGAAATGGAACCCACAGGTCCCTCACCTGAATGGAGGCCTGGCCTGGCCCACGGCCGTGTGGCCCATGCAGGGACAAGGGTGGGACAGGGCGTGGAGGAGGGGGGAGCCCACGGTCACCAGGCCCTGAAGACAGCTCACTTTTCCTCACTGACATTTATGTAATGACACAGGAAACCAAAGAGAAACAAAGAAAATGGGACACGGTCCCCGCCTTCGGAGAAGGTACAAACCATACAGATGAAGCATGCAGTCAGCCAGCCCAGCCCACCGGCACCTCCCCTCGGCCAGGATGCCCTCAACTCCTGAGCCCAGAACCTCACCCTCCTTCACCTCCTCTCTGAAGCCTCCCTGACATGCCCCTGGCCCTCCTAAACAAAACTGGGCCTTCTACCCCAGGTGCTTCTGGGTCCTATCCACCGCTCCAAGGCTCCCACCTGCTCACGGAGGTGAAAGACTTGTCCCCGGGTCTCCCCACTCGACTGCCAGCCAACACGTCCGCACCGGGCCCAGCCCAGCAAGAACAAGAACTGACACAGTCGTCTTAGCTGTGACACCGAGTAAGCCATCCCCAGGACTAACAAGCCACCAAGGGGACTGAACACAGGCTCATGAGTCCTGCCCACCACTGCCAGCCCCCTGTGGCGTCAGCTCCCTGAGAGGCCACCTTGGGCTCGAGAGCAGCCCACTCCCCCTCAGCACTGTGCAGTCGGGCCGGAGAGTTCCTGGGAGCCAGGTACCCATGGTCCCGCCCACTTCACGCCACGAGCACACACTCCCCACCCCAGATGTAACCACCAAAAAGGTCCTAAAACATGACCTCATGTGCCCCGGGGGTCGAATCACTGGGGAGAAGCCCTGTTCTCTGCAGCGAGGCCAGCAGCTAGCAGCAGGCCCTGGACTTGAAACCCTGACCCACCACTCAGCATGGCCCCCACGCCTCCCCCATAAGCTTTCTCCTACTAAAGTGGCTGCAAAGCTGAGGGGTCTGTTCGTTGTCAGGGGCGGCTAGAGCCTCCAGGACTGAGACAGAGCCTTCTGCTGAGCCTACACCATGGGCCTGTGGTACTCTTGCCAGGGCAGCTCTGCGGCCCAAGTTGGACACCCAGCCCACTCAGCAGGGACGGGCCCCCACCTCCAGGGGAGCAGAGGCCCTCCCAGCAACTGCTCCAATGGCAGGAGTGACAGAGGCTCCACCCAGGCCCCGGAGGTGGGGGCACAGCAAAGGGCAGAGGAACTCGGGGCGCCTGCTGGCCTGAAGAGGCACACAGGTTGACGGCACTGCTGGGCAGGGGCGCTCGGCTAGCACTGCGTCAGTCCCAGGGATCCCTGAGCGCTCCCAGGAGCCCTAACGGGATTTCCATTTTTAAGCTCAAATACTTTGAAGTTGGACCTATTTTAGAGAAAAATAGTTTAGATCCCAATATGAAAACTGGTCGAAGGAGCTAATTCACAGCGTTCTCGCCTACGGAGACGTGTGATGCTCTAAATGTTAGTCAGCTCCCGGGAAGTGTTTCTGAAAACTAGACGAGGGACAAACGCCAGCTCCGTGTGTCCCAGGAGGACAAGCTGAGGCTGCACGACTCCCTCTTCTGTCCTCTGTAAACAAGGGGCAAGCCCCTGACCCTCGGAGACCCTGGGGGAGGGAGTCGGTGAGCCTCTGGCTGCGAGGGCTGACCCCTCCAGCCCCACGCCTCACCCCTTCACCTCACTGATGCTCATGCGTCACGTTCTCAGAAGGGCGACCTGGCAGTCTGATTTAAGATTACACCCCAGGTCCGGCCTGCTCTGTGACCACGTCCCACCTCTGTTGCGACCCATGGCACGTGTCACCTCCCTGCACACTTCAGGCCTCCTTACTGATCACGCATAGGTCAGCGTCTGTCTCCCTCGCCAGAACATGTGCTCCAGGGCAGGTACTTCCTTGGGGCGTCCCAAGCCCTGAGAGCAGGGCCTGACCCGTCACAGAGGCTCTTCACATAACTATGTTGTTTTACATCACAGGCCCTCCAAAACCAAAAGAGCAAAAGTAATGAGCTCCAGGAAGGCCACTGAGCATCAGGCACAGGGATATAAGTTTATAACCCAAATGGGGCAATTCCGAACCCCAGACCCTCCCCTACAGACCCTGAGCCCACGTGTAGTATCCCTGGGGGGATCCTGGGAAGCGGCCAAAGGAGGTACAGCCTCTGAATGTGCAGCTGGCCTGGCCCCACAGCTGGAAATGTCACCCCTGGAACAACCATGGCACACGGCCAAGGGAGTGAGGGTCCCCCGGGGCCTCGTGCCCACTGTGGGCCCCTCACACCCTGCCCATGAAAGCCACACACCACGCCCTCTGCTGGGAACACAAAATAAAGTCCACAGCTTCAGGAAGGCCTGCAGGCACGCAGGTTAACAACCTCAAGGTCTTTCAAGGGCATGAGCTCCCGCCACATGTAGAACAGAACCCCTGTAACGTCCCGCAGAGAAAGGACTCGAGCCTCTTTCCCTCTCACACTGCATGTCCTCGTGCCCCCGGCCCACCTGCAGGACAGGATGTGTGGCTCTCGCTGACGGACTTCACCAGCCGGATGTCACCGCTTGGGACCAAAGGGGGCTCGGCCACAGGCTTTGGCTTCTGCTCAGGGCCTGGAGCCTCCTGCAGCTTGTGGCGCTCCTGCCGCTGGCTGTGGTTGCGCAGGACGCGGTTGGCCGTCTCCATGACCACGTCGCTGCTCAGGCTCTCTGCCGCCATGGCCAGGAGCCCATCCTCGTCCTCACCAGCATCCCAGGCATCGCTGGTGTTGCTCTCAAACTCCTGGAAAGTGCTGATTCTCTTGGCCTTCACGGGGGTGCTGGGTGCCTTGGGCGTGGCCTTGAGCAAGCTGCAAAGAAAAGGCAGACTTGACTTGTCCTCCCGGAGGCTGGAGAAAACTCACCCTAAAACCAGGCAGAAAGAAGCCTCCAGATGAAAAGTGTACATTCAAACTTTCAGCTTCAACTGAGCAACCCAAAGAGGCATCCTAAAAAGGACTCCTGGGGCACCTGGGGGGGCTCAGTGGTTGAGCATCTGCCTTCGGCCTAGGTCATGATCTCAGGGTACTGGGATCGAGTCCTGTATCGGGTTCCTTACTAAGCCAGGAGCCTGCTTCTCCCTCTCCCTCCACCCCACCTCCCCACTCGAGCTTGTGCTTGTGCTCATGTTCTCTCTCTCTCATAGGTATATAAATAATCTTTTAAAAACAACAAGAAGAACCACCAAGGAGGACTCCTAGGATTCAGTGGCAAGAGGGAGAGGCTCTCGAAAGGGAGTCCCGCTGAGCAGTCTCTGCTCAGTGACAAAAGCCATTTAGGAGGAAGCCCAGGACAGCAGTCATGGCCTTCAGACCAAATCCCCAGACCTCACGTCAGCAGGTGCCCACAAACCTGCTAAGGCAGGTGGAAGCCACAGGAGTGGCTGTTCCCACAACCCAGGCCTCAGGCGTATGGACTTGGACACAGCACAGCTCAAGCAAGAGCCCCGTGGTGTGTCCTGTAACACCTGCCAGTGTGCTCCTGCGGGGCCACACCACCCCATGTGCCTCAGGTGGAGGAGCGCAGCCACAGGCAGGGAGAGCCCCAGGCCACTGGGCAGAGAGGGCAGTGGAGGGCAAGGGGCGAGTTAACCACAGTGAACAGGAGCCAGGCCCCCCTCCTGCTAAGGGGGTGCCAGCTACGTGCTCTCCTGCACGGGCCCCTCCACTTCGGGCTGGGCTTCCCCATCTGCCCTCCTCCAGAGGACAAGCCACGCCGGGTCTCAACACATCTGCTGGAGGGAAGACTGCCTTCCTCCCCTCAGGACTCCCGGGGAGCAGGCGGGGGACCAGGGGCTCCCAAGAGCACATGTGATGCAGCCCGAGCGCAGGCCCCACTTACGTGCCATGTAGCAGTGGGTCGAAAGGGGGGTGCTGGGCGCCATACACGTGCTGGATGCTGTTTAAAGACAGGGAAAACCGATTAGCCTCTTCGGCCTCCCCACGAGCCCACCCCCGGCCCGGGGAAGGACCAGGTCCCAGCAACCCTCCCTCAGCAGCCACGGGTCCCGAGGGCCCGTCTGGGAGGGATGAATGGCGCCATACAAGCCCTCACCACACACACAACAGGGCATTCAGCGCACCCTGCCAACAGGCCTCAGACCACATCACCAGGGCCTCGGGCGCCCACCCCGGACAGAGCGCCACCGGCAGCACCCAGAATGAATGCTGACATGCTCGCCTGGGAGTTCTCCTCTGGGGCCATTGTGTCCAAACTCAAAATGCAGAATCGTAAAAAGAAGTTAAATGTATTTTTTTTAAGACACAATGGTTTTATTATAAAAGTCTTCTGGGGGCCCCTGGGGGGCTCAGTGGTTGAGTGTCTGCCTTCGGCTCAGGGCGTGATCCCGGGGTCGTGGGATCAAATCCTGCAACGGGCTCCCCGCTTCTCCCTCTGCTGCCGCTCCCCCGCCACTACGGCACTCGCTTTCTCTAAGTATTTTCTAAAAAATAAAATTAAAAATAAAGTCTTCTGCTCATCAGAGTAAACTTGGAAAACAGATGGAAACAAAATAACGCCCACAGCAGAAAGCCTGGGGTGGTCAGCTGAGTGACCCCAGCCACACCCTTTCCTCCACGGGGGACGTCCACCCAGGGCAAGGGGGGACCGTGACCCAGGGCAGGTCAGTCACAAGTAGTACAGACCCTTCCTTGTCTGCCTGGAGGAGCCAAGCCGAGCAGGCACACCCTCGGGCCCTGGCTCCCCTGGCTCCCCCATTCTTCCTGCCGGGAACACGGACGGATGTGAGGCCCAGGGCTCCCCAGCCTTCACACCCCGGGGAGCGAGCAGGAGGTTATAAAACCACACAAGGATGCGGGCACAGCAGGAAGATGAGCAAGAGCTCGGCTCTCAGATGGCCTTGCAGGGTGCCCGCTGCAGCCGCCCCCTCCCCAGGACACGGGATAAGCAGGCCACTAGCAGCATTCAGTTCGGCTCAGCCACTAGCGGTGACACGGCCCGTTATGATCCCCATGCAACGCTTTGCGGACCTCGTGACGGGGGTGTGCAGGCTAACGCTAATGCAGAAACAGAGGCCTTTCGTGCACCCAGAAATGTTTTAATTTTTAAAAATAGAATGAAATCCTACTTTTCACTAAGTAACACATCACGACGGTTTCCCTATATTGTTACCATCCAACTTACTTAAATGCATTTATTTACATGTATTGGCAAGTACAAAAAAAAAGTATGCTACATAGTAAATTTAAAAACAACAATGGGAGGGATCCCTGGGTGGCACAGCGGTTTAGCGCCTGCCTTTGGCCCAGGGCGCGATCCTGGAGACCCGGGATCGAGTCCCACGTCAGGCTCCCTGCATGGAGCCCACTTCTCCCTCTGCCTGTATCTCTGCCTCCCTCTCTCTGTGTTTCTCATGAATAAATAAATAAAATCTTTAAAAAATTAAAAAAAAATAAAAACAATGGGGGTGCTGGGGTGGTTCAATGGTTGAGTGCCTTTGGCTCAGCTCAGGTCATGATCCCAGGGATCAAATCCCACATTGGGCTCCCCACAGGGAGACTGCTTCTCCCTCAACCAGTGTCTCTGCCTCTCTCTCTCTCTCATGAAAAAATAATAATAAATAATTAAAAAGTAAAAACATAACAATGAGAAAGCACACAAGATTTCGCCACACATTTCTCTGCAGCCCCTTATAAATCTCTAATTATTTCCAATTGTTTAAAGTTTTTAAAAGTCATAATCAAAAGAGGCGCCTAGCTGGCTCTGTGGGTTAAGCGCCGTGGTTCAGGTCATCATCCTGGGATCCTGGGATCTAACCCAGCATTGGGAGCAACAAGCAGGAGTTTACAAAACCTCCCTGCTCAGCAGGAAGCCTGCTTTTCCCTCTCCCCCTACCGCTCCCTCTGCTTGTGATCTCTTTCACTCTCTCTCTCTCTCAAATAAATCTTTTTTAAAAATCATAATAGAAAAAATAATTTTAAAATAAAAGTCATAGAATAGAATGAGCAGCAGTGAACTCACTGGTGGCCGGTGCCATCTCCCTGGAAGGTCCCACCACATAACTACACCATAACTCGTTTAACCAATGTGGCTTGTGATGCACACTGCCACAGGTGGTCCGTCCACGTGCCCCACAGCCATGTGGACAGACCACAAATCACTGCTAATTTAATGGGAGAAAAATGGCCTCAATGCTGGTCATGTGTCTCAATTATTTTTGAGGTTAAGCAATTTCTCAATATTTTTGTGCACTTGTGCTACTTCTGTCAACTGCCTATTCAGACCCTCTGCCCATCTTTCTAAGGGGTGTTCACCCTCTTCTCACTGCTTAGTAAAAACCTGCTGTCATTCAGGCAGCGTGGTTGGCAGAATAATGGCTAAAGATGTCATATCCCAATCCCAGAACGTGTGTGTGTCACCTCCCACGGCAAAGGGGGCTTTGCAGATGCAACGGAAGATCTAAGCCCTAGGAGAGCACCCCGGATTAGCCAAGTGGGCCCAATCTAACCCTGAGTCCTTAGAAGTTCTCCCTCCCTCCGAGGGTATGAAGAATGCTCTGGTCAAGGCTACACTCCTGGCCGTGAAGATGGACACAGGGGGCCACGAGCCAAGGACTGTGGGAAGCCCAGAGAAGCTGGAGAGGCTAAGGAAAAGCCTTCTCCTACGACCTCCAGAAAGCCCTGCCAACACCTTCATTTTAGCCCAGCAAGACCCATGTCCGACCTGTGACCTCCAGAACTAGAAGATAAATGTGCACTATCAGCCTATAGGTTTGTGCTGATTTGTTACAGCAGCAACAGAAAACCAGAATGGAACAGAATAGTGCCAGGTGACAAATCTGTCTTCCTGGCTGACGGAAACTTAAAGGTCTCTGTGGTTAAGCCAACCTCACTTGTATGCATTACCCAGGGCTCTCCTCTGAGGACTCTACTTAAAAAAGCCCACCCCTGAATATGAATAATAGTGAAAGGGAATATAAGGGAAGGGAGAAGAAATGTGTGGGAAATATGAGAAAGGGACACAGAACATAAAGACTTCTAACTCTGGGAAATGAACTAGGGGTGGTGGAAGGGGAGGAGGGCGGGGGGTGGGGGTGAATGGGTGACGGGCACTGAGGGGGACACTTGACGGGATGAGCACTGGGTGTTATTCTGTATGTTGGTAAATTGAACACCAATACAAATTAATTTATTAAAAAAAAAAAAAAGCCCACCCCTACCTGTCTTAGTCTGTTCCAGCTGCTATAACAAAAATACCAGGCACAGGGCAGCTTATAAACAAGGGCGTTTGTTCCTCACGTTTCTAGAGGCTGGAAGTCCAAGACCAAGGTTCTGGCAAGGGCCTCAGCTGGTACCTGCTCGCTGTGTCCTCACCCAGTGGAAAGGGCAGGGAGGCGCTATGGGGCCTCTTTTATAAAGGACCTAATCCCACCACAGGGGGCTCCAGCCTCAGGACCTCCTCATCCCCCAAAGACCCCACCCTCCTTACACCCTCACTCTGGGTGTTAAGGCTTCATGCGAGTTTTGGGAGCACACAAACATTTACTGAGATGGTGTAAATATCCAACCGTGTTCTTGTTCCACACTTCTGTGCTTTTATTTTCTACCCTTGAGTTTTGAGTCACCTCGAGTTTATTTTATTTTTGCTACATACTGTAGAATAAAGCTGTAAAAAAAATAATAATAATCCACTGCTCCAATGCCTATTTGTTAAAAACCTACCCTTTTCACTACTGATTATCTTCAATATGCAGAAGATTCTTCTATATTGGGGCATTTTTTCAGTTTTCCATTAGTTCCTACATTCCTGTGCCTATGGCACATTTTAATTACAGAAAATGTTCTTTTATATTCTAAAATTTTTCAGCAAAATTGAATCGGCATCTGATGGCCCCCGCTTTGTGACAGGCATCATGAGGAGTACCAGGCAGGCAAAGACAAGCACGCTGGACTCCAAACTCGTAAGAACCTTAACGTTTGCTTATAAAAACAAAACAATGAATTGGCATATGTAATGTTCTACGAGAACAAAAACCCGGTAAAGTGGAACATTATTCCCCAGAACAAGTACTCAGCTATAAAGTGTTGCACTGGCACATGCTCTGAGGAAGAGCCCTGAAAACAGCACGCTAAGTGTGCGAAGCTGGTCATAAAGAAACACCTATTACACGATCCCATTGACACGAAAATGTCTAGAACAGAAATCTATAGAGACAAAGGTAGACAAGTGGTTGCTTGGGGGGGGGGGGAGGATAGGAGGCCAGCGTAACAGCAAGAGACTACAGAGCTTCTTTCTGAGAATGAAAGAATTCAATTCATTGCTCAGAATGAATGCCACTGATTTTCACCCCGTGAACGAAGGAATGGTGAATGCGAATTTAAATGGGCAAACCATATTATACATGAATTTCAATGAAGATGTTAAATTTTTAAAAGGCAGCACAGCTTCCACCTAGTTCTCTTGGGTTCTCTCCTGAAACCCAGACACCAGACTTTGAAGAAGCCCAAGCTAGCCGCATGGAGAGCTCACCTGGAAGCACTAGAGCCAACAGCTTCAGGTTACGTCCCAGCTGACGGCCACATCAACCTCGATGTGTGTGTGTGACCAGCCTTCTGATTTCCATCCAGCCTCTGAACTTTCCCAGTGACACCATGGAATAGGGACAAGTCATCCCCTGTGACCAGTCTGAATCCCTAACCCACAGAATCCAGGAGGGTTTGGGGGGTTTTGTTGTTGACCTCTCTGTCATGGTCCCTTTCTAGAAATCTCTTGGAGGATTCCCTGACCTTGATGGAAAGTTTCCAGTTTTGGGGCAGCCCGGGTGGTGCAGCGGTTTAGCGCCGCCTTCAGCCCAGGGTGTGATCCTGGAGACCCGGGATCGAGTCCCACGTTGGGCTCCCTGCATGGAGCCTGCTTCTCCCTCTGCCTGTGTCTCTGCC